CAGTAGTAGGGTGTTGTGGGTGGTTGCCAGAGTGTTGCTTTGCTATTGCTAAGGTGTTCTGATTGGTTTCTATGTGTTTGCTAGGGTATTATATTGATTGCTATGTAATTGCTCTCTAGCCCAAGTCAAATGTAATTCTGTTTGATTTAAAACATGAAAACTAATGCAACACGTCTTGTCTGACTGACAGGTGGCTACTTTCCATGCCTACGTACATGCATGCTCTGTAATCAGCCCTGTATGCATGAATGGTCAAATGCACTTCTTGGTTAAATTATCTTGGCAAGGTATAAATGTTAACAAAGTCAGTTTATTATAAGTGGTTGTAAACTGGCATGTGACATTTTGTGGAATCAGCCATGCAGTGTTATTTTAGTATTATTTATTAATGTTTTGAAATCGATTTTTAAAAAATATTTTACATTTTAAATGTATGTTTTTATTTATTTTATTGTCATGTTTGCTTTTGTTTTCTAAAATATTTCTATTTAGCTTTAATTTGTTTTTTTTTTATTTCAGTTTTAATTTTAGCAATTTTAGTTCTTCAAATTAAATTTATTTTATTTCATTTATTTGCCAAGGCAGGATTTTTTTTTCATAATTTAAGTTTCTAATATTAATAATATTTTTATTTACTTTCAGCTTTATTTCAGTTTACATAAACAATTTTTAATAGTTTTCATTTTAGATGCAGCCATATACAGTAAATCCAACACTGTCTATTATGTCATTAAAATTAATTAAATGGCATTATTGACAAAAAAAACACTCAATTTATTTCAGTTTTTTATTACTGACTGTATTTGAAAGGAATATTTAATTAACTGAGGAATACTTGAAGACTTTATTGTCAGAATCTCCTTTCACCAGGCCTGTCACCACAAAGCACCACATTTCTCATAATCCTCCCTGGCCATCACCCTCACACTCAGCTCTATCTTCACACGTGTTTGCCATCAACCTCATCAGTTTCCCTATATAAGCAAGCACCAAACACTCATTAATTGTTTGGTCTCGTCACTACTATAGGACTGTTATATCACCCTTGCTTAAGAACTGCTTACCAACGTTGTTTCATACAGACGGACTTAACCATCTACTCCATCTACCTTGGAGACTTACCTATGTACAGCATGTCTTCAGACCCAGTCTTCAGCCACGCCAGCCAGTACCTGTAAAACATAAGGACTATTTAATATTCAGTTAAGTTTCATGTTATTATTTGAAGTACCTACTAACCTACTTGTATCTCAGCTGTCTGGAACTGCTTGTAAATAAAGACAGTGTTATTCGCATTACCATCGTGTCAACCTCTTCTGTTATTGTGACAGAAGACCAGACCGTACCTAAAGTTGATTCCTGATGGACTCAGTGGAAGAGACCTTGTGTTCCATCTTGCAAGATGGCCGGGGCAAATGAAACCTACGTGGAGGAATTCCTGCAATGGCCCTGTCCCAAATCACACCCTAAACCCTCGTGGTCTTCCTCTGAGTCCACACTTTTGTGACGTAATGCCGCTTTGCAATTCCTGCCAATACACCAATGTCTTCAGCCATCAGGCCTGCCACCAGATCCATCTTGAGGTGGAAAAGACTAGCATCCAACATGGTGGATCCACCGCTGATGTCAGCGTGAGCAGCAAGCATCCCAAGGCCTGCGCTCTCAAACCCACCAAGTCCACTCCAGTGTCAGCTCCAGCCCCTGAGTCTGCTCCAGTGTCAGCTCCAGCCCCAGAATCCGATCATTTCCTCTACTTCCATCACGGGTCTGCTCCAGCCCCAGAATTCAGTAATGAGTCTGTTCTAGTCTCAGAGTTCTGAATCGAGCCCATTCTGGGTACGGAATCTTCATCAGAGCCTGCTCGTACTTATTAATTAACTCTTAACTTACCTCCAGTTCTAGAGTTTGTAAGAGTATTCCCCCCAGACCAAGAATCCATTCCAGAGTATAGTCCCCTGAGGGCTCCAGCCTCTGACCAGAGTCCAGTGATGGTTCTTGCCCCTGAGTACAGCCCAGTGATGGCTCCAGTCCCTGAGCACAGCCCAGTGATGGCTTCAGTCCCTGAGCACAATCCAGTGATGGCTCCAGCCCCCGAGCACAGTCCAGTGCCCACTCACATCCAGCAAGCTCAGCCTAGTGCCCTCTCTCATTCCCGAGCTCAGCCCAGTGCCTGCTCTCATCCTCGAGCTCAGCCCATCGCCCGCTCTACCGCCAGAATCCTCATCTAACATAGCCATCATGCCAGAACCCAACCAGATACTTCCAAGCCTAAAGGATTCAGAGACCCCTCTACCAATATTTATATATTTAAATATTTATATTAAATATATGTAAATATTAATATTATGATTTGTATTATTAAATTAAGACTTTATACATCTTAATATGACTCTAATAGTGGGTAGGAAAATATGTTTTCAACTTAATACAAACTAAATATTTTCAGCTATTGTTTTAATCACTACTTTTGGCTTTTGTGTAATGGCAATTCTATCATGAGAACTCTCTGAAGATTTTAGGCATGGTAATGGAAATGACAATGTTAATGTATTTGGTCTTGGCGAAATAGATCTGCTACGCTGCTGCTGCTGTTGGTTATTGCTGTATTTGTAGATTATTTCTGCTGCTGCTGCAAGCAAGTACAGGAACTTGCAACTGCCAATACATAAGCCGATACGGTGCTGTTGCTGTTCCTGAAACCACGCCTTCTTTCTTTGCGTGCACATTTGGGCGCATTATGCAAATATTCCTACATAGTGACCTAGATATGTGGGGGCGTGTTAGAACGAGCCGTTTTAGGGGGGTGTGGCAGAGTCTTAACTTTGATAAAGAATATCTCTTTGGTTTTGAGACTTTAGTCTTTGCAACTTCAGGGATCTTATCTATGCACGAACAGCTTTTAACACTCCAAAGAGAAAGGAAAACTTGAAATCGCATCATATGACCCCTTTAAGAGAATGCTAATCAGCCATTTAAATGTAAAGCAACAAGCTCATTGGCTGCGTATGCGACGTGAACCAATCAGCTTGTGACAAGTCGTTTAATGCTAAGAATATCATCAGTTTATGTTAAGGACCCATCAGTCTGCACCATCTAGACTTTCATGACAGAACGTGGTATTTATTTAATTGCGGAAACAACCTAGTTGAGACAACTGAAATATTGGTGTTGTGACTAACTAATAAGGGCCTGTTTTAGATATTGATATTGATATTGCACTGTATTTCATATATATTTCAATGGCACACTTCTTTAGGATTGCCTAGTGGCCAGTCCTGGGTGGTAGCCATCTGTGTCTTCTTTGAGAAGAGCACCAGTACAGCTGATGTGGTCCTAACCCTTCCTGTCAACTTGTGCTGAGACTGCTTTCCAGTCAGTCCCTCTGTATGGAGATCACAGCAGTGAGTCACACTTAATCACAGCACACAGAGGAGCCAGATCCGAGGTCACGTCCACCAGAGCCAAAACACACAGCAGCGTTCTAAAGCAACAGCAGGGGGGGTTCGCAGCAGTGCCATGGAGTGGCTGGAGCATTTAATGATTAATAATTTATTTTTTTATTAGAATTGTATTAATTTTATTAGTTATATGATTTATAATATTATTATTTATGTAATACAATTTTTGTATTATGAATTAAATAAATCTTTATTTTTCAATAAATATTTCACATAATATTTGCTCAACATAACATTTTAAAATTTTTAAAATTCTAAAACTATTATTTTTCTATTCATTTTCCTTTTGTAGCCCTCTATTAAACATAAAACATGGGAAAAAATTGCATTAATTGTAGAAGTTGAAAAACATTGAGCATTATGTGATAAGTATGTAAAGTCTATTATGACAAATGTAGGTCCACAAGCATTGATCTTGCAGTTTTTTCACTTGAAGTGTGGGCAAAAAAATAACTTGTCGCTACAATCAAGTACAGTACAATTAAATCCAAGGAACATCTTTCTCATTACCTATAGTACTCCTCAGTTTCCTTGTATCGCACCCTTCATCTCCCAAGGCCTCTTGGGATAGCAAAGAGTCAGTTGGTTGCATCAGTGGTATGCTGTATTATTGATATATACTGTTATAGTTTTTTTTTTATATTTTGAATTAGATTTAATTTTTATATTTTCTGTTAAAGTTTTAGTATTTTGTCATATGTTTTTGTCATTATTATTATTTTTAAATATGTCCATATATTTTTTATTAACTTTTATCTATTAGTTTTATTTAGTTTTAGTTATTTTAGTACTTAAACTAAATGAAAATAAAAAATTTTACTTTGACAACTAGCTTAAAAAATGAATGTAATTTTTGTTTTAGTTAACTGTAATGGTTCACACATTTCATAATCTCAGCAAATGCTGTACGTCATCTGCCAATTATATCATGAATTCTGTGTATTCTGACATTCTAGTCATTTGCATATTATGTAGTCGAGAATTACGCATATTTGAATATGGTGATGGTGTTTGGTGCTTTGGGCATGTTGAGTCACGAGGTTATGACTCTCTTTTGAGATTTGACATATTGACTGTGTCAGTTAGAGCAGGGGTTTATTATGTCAGCAAGCCCTCGTGAAGACGAATGTCCCAGGTCAAGTGAACAAGTCTTCATTATTGCATAATACACCCCCAATAGGACCCCGCTGTGAAGCAGAAGGCTATTGTGTCATCCCGAAGGGCTTTAGTTTGTGATAATGACCTGTATCATCCCTTACATTATTCCTTACCTACCAAATAAGTAAATAAATGGACTTAAAATATTGATTTCAGTGAAAATGATTTGATTATGTGGGAAGAAATAGACTGTGGCGTGATATAGAACTAGCACGCTGCTGGGTATTTGTTGCCCAGGGCAACAGCAAAATATACAGTTTCATTATACTAAAATATTTGGCCACAGAAAGCAGTGATTGGCCAATTACGACCCAGTATGGTGTGTAGTAATTGCTTTGTTTTCAGTGATTTATAATTTTCATGTGCTGTGATTTTGTTTCATAGATGTACATACAAACGACCACACTGACCATCTCAGTGAGTCTGAGCGCGTCTGTGTCTCTGGGGATGCTCTACATGCCAAAAGTCTATGTGGTGCTCTTCCATCCGGAGCAGAATGTGACCAAGCGCAGCACTCGCAGCCTGAAAGCTGTGGTCACTGCCGCCACCATGTCCAACAAGTTCAACCCCAAGGCCAGCCTGCGGCCCAACGGAGAAGCCAAGTCTGAGCTGTGTGAAAACCTGGAAACTCAGGGTGAGCGGGTTTGAGGATAAAAACTTTATTGTTATTGACACTGATTTTTATACTGCCATAAACTTGTTATTGTAATCTTTAAAAATTCATCATCATTCCTTTGCTCACTTAAACGGATCTGAATTTGGAGACAGTTGCAAAATTGAGCCTCAGCAGTCTGGATGCAGTTGCTTTATTTATTTTTTTTAAGGATTAATTCACCCAAAATCAACAAATCTGTTTATATTTACTCCTTGATTATTCCAAACCAATATAACTTTCTTTTTTATAATGCAATGAAGACATTTAATGGTGTCAGTGTGATGATCATAACAAGCCAACCTCTAATCGTCTGGCTCACTTTGCGTAAGGTTATTTTGGTTTTCATTATGTTCGAATTAACCATTTGGCATCAGATATAGGCTAGTCAGTGTGGTTTTTAAATTATCACGAGCAAATCGGTTGAATCGGTACAACAGTCCTCATCGAAACCCATCTCCTGCTAATTTAAATTTCAATAAAACACAGCAGCTGATAAACCAGCTTTGTAATACAATAGTAAATAAAAGCCTGCTGCCTCAGCAGAAATAACTCTCATTCTAGAACAGAAGCAAACCTGTAGCTCCCATCTTGAAAGAGAAACGAAAGGCTGAGCATTATATTACTCATTAAGGCCCTGATTTACCAAGATCCCAAATAAAAAGTACTAATTGGCTTGTGCAGTCTATCAAATTGTCTGTGTGCATTATGGGTATAGAATAACACAAATAACCACACATGCACTTGTTTCATTTTGTATATTTCGGTTTTCAATTTCAGTTTTATGTTGTGGTTTGTTTTGATAGTGCAAAAAAGTTTTAATTTTGTATGTTTAAATACACTTGTAATTTAGTTGCGGCACCTGGAGAGGTACTGTGTTGCAGAGTAGTTTGTGTTTTGTGTGTTTTAAGTTTGAATATGATAATATAATGTGGTATTAATTTGCACACAGTTACCTTTTCTGAAGTTTTCATGGGTGATAAATCACTTTGCAAGTTCTATTTAATTCATTTGCATTGAAGCTACCCTTCATTTTGCACGCCCCCAAATGACATATTCATTAAGAAAAATCTGAGAAAACAGACAAGAAGCGCTATGATCTGGTGCTATATCTGGAATACAGAATCCTCAGTAGACACAGCAGATTATTATTTATTTTTTTGCATGTGCCATCTGGTTTGCACATGTTTTATATGCACAAATCTTTAGTAAATCACAAACTAAAAGTGTGCTTCACTGCTTATGTGAATGTAGTTAGACAGTACAGCAGATTTGAGACCTCATCAATTGTGCCTTGATACCTCAGGTTCCCTTTTATTCTATTTTTTCAAATAGCCTCTAGCATTAGCATCTTCATTACCTTAATCTGTGATGTGATGTCAAATGCAGCAGACGGGGAAAAATAAAAATGCAAATATAAATCCATTTCACCCTTTCAGTAGATAGTAGTAAGTAGTAAGATATCTGCTGTTAGTGATGCACCGAAATTGATTTAACACCTGTAAATTAAAGGTTTCAGTAGGCCAAAATTAAAGTTTTAATTAAGCCAAAAACCAAAACTGAAGTTGTATAAACATTTAAATTGCACATAAGTGTTTTTTATTGGTTTTGGTCAATATTTTGCCAACATAATTTAATTTGTACTCTAATTTGTTGTTGAAATATAAATATTTAAATGGTGGCTGTATTAAAAACTTGTTTTCATGACAGATTTATTCAAACATTTATTCAAAACAAGACAACAGGTTAAGTAAAATATAATGAATATGTAACAAAGTAGCAAAATGCTCATTGAATGGCTTTCCTGAGATAAAAACAACATTACTTGACATTGTTTACAAACTGATTTATTGACTTCCTGACACTGCTTGAGCGATTACTTGAGGCATGATACATTTCTGTAAGTTGTACTGTTTCTTTCAACAGAACTTCTGATGTTCATTCATGCTCATTTTGTGCTACATTATAGCTACAGTAAAGCTGACATTATTTTATATTAAAAGTATAAATGCACAAATCTTATTGAGATTATTGGATGGCAGATGCACTACAAATAATGTTTAGTGAAGTTCACGCATCAACAGAAAACAGCAAAGAAAGAAAGTTTGATCTTGAGATTTAATAATCCATATCATTATCAATTAAAAATGGAAAATCTATATTGTTAATCTAGCACTATCGTCCACACAGGTGACATATTTACCTGTTGTAGTTTATCTGCATTGCATGCACGAAATAGACAATGACACAGTCAAAACTCACCATCGAAGAAGTGCTAGTTAAACTCCACTGTTTCAATCAACGATTTCGGCCCTTCATAACTATTTCAGCCAAAACCAAAAATTGCTGTTTCTCTCTCATTTTTGTTGCTGCAGTTTCGGTGCATCACTGTCTAATATAATATAGTGAAATATTTGCGCTTCATATGTTGTTTACACAAACCTTTTTCCACCAGAATACACAGATCATGTTGAATTGTCGTCAGTGAAGCAACATGTTTATTTGCAGGCAGATGGTGTCACATCTACTATCAGGGGCTAACAGGGTCATGCAACCAACAATACTTTGCCCCCTTGGATGTGGGCCATGTTGTTCCTTGCAAGCCGAAAAAAGCATGTGCAGATGCACACGTAAAAAATCCACCAGAAAAAGGAGTCCAGGCAGAGATAAGCACAAAGGATATTAAAATTCATAATGATGTGAATTTAATATGACATTTCCCAAGATATATCTGTACATTGACTTGTTCTAGAATAAAATATCATGTTAAACAGATTCAAAGTATCATGTTAGACTAGGAAGGCACAAATTAACTGCTTCCATTACATTGCATTTGGCATTCACAGCAACGCACATCCACTCTGCTTTCATTATGTTGCATTTTATATTCATTTTGCAGTGCAGCAATACCCAGTAAATCATATTGTGGGTCTTAATAACAAATAGCTCTGAATTAAGGGAGACGTCCAGATAAATGTTTTGACAACAGAATTAAATTTGTGTGATGAATGTTGCTACATAGACGAAAATTCGCCCAATTAAGCATGACTAGTTAGCACAGTGTTTTCAGCAAATATTTACCACCGGTTGCATGACCGTACCAGACTACCACCAACCCCAGTGTGAATTTCATCTGCTCACTTTCCTTGTACATATTCAGCAGCTCTCTATAGCAGCACTTTGAATTCACTGCAGTGGAACTATGTGCTTTTGTAAATGAGGTATTAGAGTCAGTGACTGCATTAGTATGTGCCCTTTTGAAAGATCCTAATAGAGTTATTTAACACAAGCAGTTTTTTTGCATCTAAAGCAAATGCAAGCTAACAAATAACTTCTCCGTAGCTCAGGGATGTCTAACATTTCATGAATGCATTAAAGGGGAAAAAGGATCTCCTTGTTGATTCTAATTGATTTTGATCCTTCTTTAAGACTTAAATTGCATTAAGTAAAAGTGTCTGTTAAGTGTCTTAATGTAGCGTAATGTGATAGAAACGTTGCTTTAAAGTGTTACAATTACTTCTAAGTGAATTACATGACATTGAATTATTATGTAGCTCTTAATTGTATTTCTAGTCAAGCAAGGACTCATCTCTCTGTGCGTGTTATATGAAGTAATCATCATTATATTATTAGCATGGGTGTGCTACAATAACACAGTGTTCAAGTAGAGTTGAATATATCATGACTTTGTGCACATGATTGACCAAAAAAGTACCAGGAGGAAACTTAGTATTCTCAATGATATCTGACATTTTTTATTATTTTTTTATGTTGTAATTACAGTGTAATAATATTAATCTAAAGAATATGCATAAATAAATCATATAGATTGTATAAATTGATAGAATATATATTCACTTGCACTTATCCACTGTTAAATACACTGTCGTTCAAAAGTTCACAAGAAATTTGTTTTGAAAGAAATTAATACATTTATTCAGCAATAATGCGTTAAATTGATCAAAAGTGACTATATTTACTTTTTTTTTTCAAATAAATGCTGTTCTTTTGAATTTTCTATTAGCATATTAGCAAATCGACATCATAGAATGATTTCTCAAGGATCATGTGACAATGAAACCTGGAGTAATGATGCTGAAAATAAACTTTTTAAAATTGTAATAATATTTCTTCTTCTTCTTTTTTTTGTATTCAAATAAATGCAGCCTTGTTGAGAAGAAGATACTTTTTTCTGTACAATACTGTACCTTAAAAACATCTTGCTGACCCAAAATGTTTGAACGGTAGTGTCTATTTTAACTTTGCTATTTCCATATTTGTAGAAGCATTCCCAGGTACACTTGAAGGCAGCATTATACACACTAAAATAATTCTAAATCACAATTATTTTCAATAAATGTATTATTTTGAAAAATAGATTAAAGAGCTGTTTCCATTAGTTTTGTGTTCTGGGTCTAATCCTGCGTAAATATTCCATTACAAAATCATTTTGGGCTTTTGCACTAGGCGATATCATACTTTATATTTTGTTTTAATAATTCATGCAGCCTAAAAAGGCAGCATGCAACCCATGACGAAACACTGTGTACTGTGCAACAGTGCGTTCTATTAAGGTTAAGTCATTAACAAAGGCAATATGACACATTTCCCACCCATTGCTTTTTCACAATTTTTAAGGCTTTTTAACAATCAGGTGACTAGTATGTCTTCACAGTCTCACATTTACCACATATGTGACGTTGTTCACAGTCACACTTCTAAAGTCTCACTTCTTGTCATCTCACATATTGGTAGTAAAAAAAAAATGTTTTGAACCAATCAAGATAAAGACAAGACATGTTTAATGTAGCTATTATTATAGTGTCAGCGCCTATATGTGGCACATTATTCATAGTGAGATGCACTCCATTAGTATATCTACAAAAGTCAGTACTTGGCAAGCAAGTTTATCACTGATATACAGTAAAAGACACTTTTGGACACCAGTAGATTCCAAAGTAACAGTTCATCTATGATATCATTGCAATGCAGAATGTGTATAGAGTTTAGTGATGCATATAAACAAGATCAAAATATAATGCATGTGTGATGTTGCCTACAAAGATCATAGAAACTTGCCAAAGAATGAGGATAAGAGGATGAGAATGACAAGGTCAGTTGATCAAACTCATAGTTACATAATATCGACATCAATAGGTTTTCTCATGTGTCCTGTGAGGAAAAGAGTTTTGCTCTTTGGTGAATTGTAAATATGGTCAATAATAACATGAGTGGGTCTTCTTGTAGGTCTCCTTGAAATAGTCTATCGACATCAAGCATGACCACCATACAACTATATTGATGAATGGTTTGTTGAATTGAAAACCGCAATATCATATTTTGTTGCCTTGATTAGAGAGTTTTCTGTACAACAGCTTAATCCTAAAAATAGTCTACTTTTTTATGTACACTGAAAAAATGGTTGAAGAAACAATTTTCATGTAGGAATTGCTAGTAAATTTCACAAACAGTTACAAAGAAATGGCAAGAGATGTTGAAATGAATGTGATCAATATAAAGATGGAGATTTTACACTGTAGACTGCATTCTGTTAACCTGGATTTGTCCTCTTGTAGTGTATTACTAGATTTTTAGATTTAACTGCTCAGTTATTTCATTAAAATAATAAATGGTACTCATGAAAAATACAAAAAAGTATAAAATCCTAGGATGTGTTTGAAGAGTACTGTCCTTTTAAGAGTGTTGGCGTTAGTCGCTGTGTGCATAAAATGATAGCAGAGCTGAGCTGAATGCGCTCATGCATAAAAAGGAGTTCATAATGTTACTTTGAAATGCGTAATAAACTTATTTCAGCACCAAATTATGCTTGTGCGTGCGTCTGTGCAGTTAGCCAAAGCACAAAAATCCATTTTGTACCTTAGCAGTAATATCATTGCACATGTGTGTCTAAACAAATGATTTAATGTCAGGGATACATGTGTTCATAGTTGTAATATGTGCAGTATCATTCTTTTTTTGATCATAATACTGTACTTTTGTTCAAGAACACACACACACACACAAACTCTCTTGTATAACACCAAACCCATCATTCAAATCCAGTGGTTATAAATCTTAGCTGTTTTTCAAGGACTATCTGACATCCCAACATCCCAGAGCATGCTAGTTCGATAGGGTTTATTTTTCCCTAATTGAAATAGTGTATTTTTATAGCAGATTTCAGAATGCGGAATGTTAAAATAAAGTTGAAGTGTGTCATTTTTTAAGCAATGTTTGTTTACAGTTCTCGGAGTGCAAATAGCCAAAGACTTAAGTTTTAATTAACTCGGAGCATTGCTTAGATATTTTTACATTTAGTACAAAATAGAATGTTACATTCTATTTACACTTTGTATGATTAGCATCAATCATTATTTGCTCTTGCATTATTTGCACTTAGTGTAAAGATGCTTTTTGTTGCTATTTAAACTTGGTGCAAACAGTATATCTACAGCTCTTTACACTCAGTCTAAGTAGCAGCTACCTTTTCACTTAGTTTTATGTTGCTTTCTCCTATTTCACCTTAACACACACAGACAACAGAAGTAAGCTCATTTCCTGGATTATTTCCCCCAACAGTGATTTAAGCCTATAGTCTGTATTATAATGTTGTGAAGCATAAATGTGCTTGTATCATAAAAAACTGAGTTTATGTATACAAAATAATATGGTAACACTTTACAATAAGGTTTCATTTCTTAACATTAGTTAACTGCAGTAGTTAACATGAGCTAACAATGAACAATACCTCTACAACAGTTATTAATCTTAAAATAATGTTCCTTTCTACATTTACTAATACATTTTTAAAATCAGATGTTGCATCTGTTAACGTTAGTTAATACACTGTATTAACTAACATTAACAAAGGTTAATATGCTGTAAAAATATATTGCTCATGCTAATGAATGCATTGTTAGCAGCGTTAACAAATAAGACCTTAGTGTAAAGTGCTACCAATAATATTTGAAAGCATTTTGTTTTAAATAAGACTGCACTGCAGCTAATATATTGCTATATGGCTTTTATCTTTAAATTATTTAGCATGATTAATATTTACAGTAGCATGTTACTGCGCCTTGCAAACGCATTCACAACCTTTGAAAATCCTACATTGAAATATACTTCTTAGTGACATTTTTCTAAAATCTAACTCAAATCTATTTTTATATAACTTTGTTATGTTAGGAAACGTCCTAGCAGAGATAAAATACTGAAATTAGCTTTTTGCATAAGTATCCGGTCCCTGCATCGCAGACGATCCCAATTTACACAGATAGAAAACAATTGCCCTGATGAGGACACAATTACCTCACAATTGTGCTCTGCCTGTGAATCACTGAAATAACAACCACTTTATCTGGATTTCTTTTTTTAAATGTAACCCTACAGTAAAGGGATCATTATTCAGGTTGTGAATATAAAGTACATCTTAAAGGTTGAGGTACTTGAATGCAATGCAACCAATAAAGAAAATGCTTGAATTGTTGTAAACATGTCGAATGCAACACTTTAAATGAACATAATGTACATACAGCTGAAACTTTTCTTTTAAAGAGAGAACTCGGAGGGGTTGAAGAGCATCTGAAAAGAGTCATTTGATCCAACTTTAATCAAACATCAAAGTGTGCATACCACAAAAAAAAACAATAAAAAAAAAATAGTATACAAGGTTCAAAATTATTTTTTTTCTCTCCTCATGGCCATATGATTTCAAACATGTTATACTTGCAGTGTGTTTCATTTAAATTTTGTAATGCAAAACCGTGAAGTCATGAAGCAGATTTCTATCATTTAAATTGTCATTTTACAGTTATTTTATTCTATACATATGTAAATAAAACTTGTCTAATATAATGTAACCACTCAACCTGTGTTTCAGGATATGTTGATGATAACTAAACAATGAAGACAGGTAAAGACTTTAATTATTGGCTATTGCTTGGCTTACTGTTGGACCTAATTGTTGAACTTAATCGTGTTCCATTTAGCTTTCATGCTTAAACTGTGCATATCAATTAGCTTATAGTGCATTGAGAATGACATTTGTTAAAACGGCTAAAGACACAAAAAAGCATGCATGCCGCATTGCTTTGCAAATCACTTGTTTGCACAGGGCTTTGTAGGTGAGAAACACTATACTGGGGAAAGACCTAAAGATAGCAACAAATTTGTTTTTATGCATTTTTCAACCAATAGAGAGTAGGTATGAAAACTTTCACAACAGTGCATGGCCTAGATAAACACACATAAACACGAGCACAAATTGGGATAGCAGACTCAAATAGAACAGTATACATCTATGCTAGATAAAATCAAGCACCTCCAATTATATTTTATATAGAGGAAAAATTATTTAAATTTGCTTTATGACAACGTCCCTCGCTCTAAGCTGAAATGGAGCTATTTATCTGACTGTACCTATGGGTCAGTGCTCCATATGCCGAGGGAGAGTCCAGACAGGAGAACCGCACCAGTAGTGTGGGTCAAATATCACCTCACCTTCCTTATTCCAACAGCTCTGCATGATTGCATGAGGTAAACTTTTGATCTCCATATAACGATGCAATGAGCTTGAATTTTCCATTGACCCTCCTTCTTTGGCAAGGTTATTACATGAATAGCTGTAGACAATGTCACTCATGCAACCTTTGTGATTGTTTGCACTACAACGCTATTGCAAGATGGATGGCAAATGACAGGATTAGGCTGTTGATTATGGGTTTTTGTTGAATGAATGCTTTAATAGCAGACTTGTCACTGATTGCAAGTAACTTGCCTGTTTTTGAAAGTATTAGTAAAGTATCTCAGTCATGTAAACCGTATTGGATATCAAGAAAGTCGAGTCTGACATCAAACAAGACACGCTACTTGACGTCTGGCAAATTAATAGCAATATCAAAGGGACCAAAAAAGGACCTGACAAGAAATAAAACATGAGGTTCTGCATCAAACCATTCGGCCTTTGATAAAGTTCCCTGTGAATGCTATATACTGAATAACTTCAGTATTCATATTTAAAGGAATAGTTCATCCAAAATGAAAATGTACTCACCCTCAGACCATCCAAGATGTAGATGCATTTGTTTCTTCATCAGAACAGATTCAGAGAAATTTAGCATTACATCACTTGCTCACCAATGTATCCTCTGCAGTGAATGGGTGCCGTCAGAATGAGAGTCCAAACAGCTGATAAAAACATCACAAATAATCCACAAGTAATCCACTTTACTCCAGTCCATCAATAAATATCTTTTGAAGTGAAATGTTGACATCAAGACATTTATAGCTTGAAATGAGTCCTCTATCCATAATATTGCTTTCTCCAGTGAAAAAGTCATCTCATCTGAATCAGGAGAGAAATATGCACAGCATATTTGCAAGTGAAACAGTCCAAAACCATTTTAAACTAATATGTTGAGAAGACAACAGGGGATGGACTTTTTCACTAGAAGAAGCATTATTATGGATTATGGACTCATATTTTGGTTTAAAGTTAAAATCCCTTAATGATGGAATTCTTCATTACAAACACACAACTTTTCGCTTCACAAGACATAAATTGATGGACTGGAGTGATGTGGAATATTTGTGGATTATTGTGATGTTTTTATCAGCTGTTTGGACTTTCATCCAAAATCTGTTCCAATGAAGAAAATAAAAATTTTCAACAAATTTCCATTTCCTTTAAGCACTTCTCAGACTCAAATTATCTATTTTTATCACATTCTTTCTTCCCTTGCAGGACTCAGCCCTAAACAAACGTACATCAGCTACAGCAACCACGCAATCTAGGTAAGGGATAAAACGCCACTACCAAATCCCAGAAGTGACCCCTAGAAGACAGCATTTCAAGATAAATCACTCTCACGTTATGTCACTTATGAAAGTGAGATAGCGGATGGTTGGAAGACCCCCACAGACATGTTTCCATTAATGAAGCTCATGTGAAGTCACATAGGGAGCATCTTGGGAGGCCGAGACTGTTGAGGCCGGGATGTTGGAATGACGGTCTGTCACCCAGACTATTCCATTACAGCTTACTCTATCTATTCCAGATGTCATTGTTAAAGTGATACACACTAATTAAGGACAACATGTCAGTGTCTGCTGTTTCATTGACGCTAACACTATGTGGTGGCTTAAAAAAAAAAAGAAGAAGAAAAAAAAGTATTTAAAAAAAATAATTCAAAGCTTTTTCCTCTTGTTTTCTCCTTGGTGATGACAACAGCAAAGACAGTGACTATTGTTTACAGATGTTGAGCATGCTGGTTTTGACATCCTGTGCTGTGTTGTTTTTTCTTTCTTTATTTCTTTTCCTTAAAAAAAAAAAAAAAAAAAAAAAGAACCTTCTGGAATGCTGTTGAACTATGTTGCTGTATTGTTACCTCACCATGGGCCTTGTGAAACTGTTGAAGATGTACGAAGTGCTCTTTGGGGTAATGTTTGCTTGTGCATATTAAGTACACACCTTTGAAGAACTCAAATTTGCCCTGTTGTCAAAATGTGCTATAGCTGTCACAGTCACCTGTGCAAATCTGAAATCACAATTTAGAAATGGTGTGACGTTTGTTGAATGCTCGAGATATCGGAACCAACGTCCACTGGACCAGGACAGCGCGAGTAAGTCACTTTCATACGAATACAGCTATCGAAGACTCTTCAATAGAAATTGGAAGAATCACCAACCTCAAGTGAACCGACGGTTCCGAGAAGCTCGGATGATGGAGTAGATGGCAAGATCCTGTCTTCATATCTGGAAATGTCAGGTGATAGAGAGAGACAAGCTGATTTGTCTCTTTAGATGTTTGTGAATTTAAGATTCAGTTCTTATGATTTCTCCTTTCTTCTTTGTTTTTGCACTGTTTGTGCTGCAGAATAAAATGTCTTTGTTGACCGTGATAAATGACAACTTAATGTGTTTTCCTGATTGCTAATGTTTGCTTTTCATCCTAAAAGAGAAAAAAATGTCAGAAACAGTGCCTGAATTAAAGTATTTGTAAAATAAGACATATGAGGTATGTGAAGCATGTTAATTTTTATACATAAATCATTTCTAATAAATACATTTTTCAAAACTCATTGTTTTCTGAAAAATGATCTCTGCAATGTTGGCAAAGCGTCAGGTATTTCTGTGAGATATGGCTTAAGCACACCGCAATACAGTTGCTAGGTTGTTCTGGGTGGTTGCTAGGGTATTGTTTGGCGGTTACTATGGTATATGCTGTAAATCTGTGGGATTTTTTTCACTCGTTTTTCCGCTGTCAAGCAAAAACCAAAAGTCGGATTGCTTAGAAAAGTGATAGCGCAGCTCTCTTCTATAAACCACAGATTTTGAGTGATGATTCAGGTCTGTAGCACAAACTTGGCTCTCTTTTTTTTGTCTGCAAGAAGAAAAATAGGACAAACAATAATAGTTATACAAGCATAATAATACTAGACAAACCCTATAATATGTAGACTCAAGTGAAATGCTTTTTAATTGAATAATGCTTTTGTATCAAAACTAAAAAAAAAGAAACCTGAAACATGCAGTATTTAAAACAGCCAAGTTGTATCACCTCTTAATGTGCTAATACGCTATTGTATTTATTTTTATTAATATTCTTAGTCAAAAACAAAAAAGGATTGTTCTCTTTTGTGCATTTAAAATTTCCTTCAAAAAGGCACTTAGTCCTCAAGATTAGGAGACATCCTGACACAAAAGCACAGTGGAAATTAAAAGAAATGTCATTTGTCTGAGATATATATTTTACAACAGGCAGCCGTCTATCATAATGTGCATTTCAGAAAGCCCATTATTAAGTGTGAGATGTATCTGCCATCAGCGGCAACAGCGCAGAGGAAGACAGGTGCTATAAAGAAAAGCACCGGTACTTTGACTCTGTGATGTATAACGGCGTAACTACCAGACATAAATTATAGGCCATGTTAGGCTTATTTAGGTCTGTCTGGAATACAGGACATAAAACGGACTTGATTGGACTGCTACTCCATTTCTCTGACAGTGCTTAGAAACGGATGGAAAGAGCGTACAGTGAAGGGTGGATCAGGATGCTGTGCAAAGGAGGTCATGTTCTCTGAGATCAATACATTCTGTCTGTCTGTGTGTGTGTGTGTGTGTGTGTGTGTGTGTGTGTGTGTGTGTGTGTGTGTGTGTGTGTGTGTGTGTAACATTGTAGTTTGTTAGCTGAAGAAGGTTCTTCCTTATTAATGAGTTAAATTTCCATAAGAATTTGTTTATTTGAATGATAATATTATTGTAAATTATTTTATTAAATATAAATATTGTATATGTAATATTTAATTATTGTAAATTATTTTTATATTTATAATTATTATTATATATATATGAAGTGTTCTGAACGACTGAACCTAAATATAGGAGATTGATAAAAATGCTAATTTTAGAAGAAAATTTCAGACGGCACTTAGAGGCTTTTGCATCTGAACTCTTCATATATATATATGCTTTTATAGCGAAATATGAATATTAATGTGTCATCCTTAACTGTACATTATCCTGATCATTACAAAGCTACTGAATAAATAAATCAAATTTATTTGATGTGAGTTGAAATTAATTTTATATGTGAGAGGAAAGCGATCATAGTATGCTGTATGAAACATGAAAAAGTGTAGGTAGGTGGTTGCCATGGACAACAGTCAAATATAAATGTTGGCTTATACAAGCAGAGAATGTTGTGACTGACCAATCAAAATCAATTATTCTGCAGAGGCATGTGATAATTTATTAATAATGTAATAATTATTCTACATTAGCTCTTTTAACCCAGTATTTTCAGGAGGCGGTATATTACATTGTTGTTCATTCACATGGCAGTCTTTCAAAATTTCCATGTATCTAAGACTTTGAATGTGGTCTCAGACTTTTGTACCCCACTGTATGCACATTTACGTTTTATAATAAATATAATTAATAGTTATATATTTGATCCTTGCAGATGCTATTTAATCATGTTACTTGACTGTTTTATTTGCTGATAATTTATATAAAAAATAACATTCATATCACAGATTGTTGTATGTACTAACATGTGTACTTTGTTAAAAGTATATTCGTTATTTTTTAATATATATATTACTATTTTTTTACATAGAAAATGGGCGCACTAAAGTAACATTTTAGCTGGGTTATCATCGGTGATATGTATGATCATTTTACAAATAGTCTGACATTATGCACATTGCTTCTCAGATTCCATTTCAAATCAGCTGCATTCAAATCCATTTGGACACATTAGATCTAAACAAAGAAACTGAAACAAACAGCTGCTCAGGTTGATTTCAGTGAAACAGCACCTCAAAGTGGTAATTTGTGGGTATGTGTACTGTACTGTGGTCTCATATATCACATTCTGGCAAGCTGCGTAAATACTGTAAGAACAACCCTGTAGCTTGTCATCACACAAAATAGACACTAAAGCCATTTAAATTCCCTGGCTCAGACTAATTTTGCAGAGCTAACTCTACCTTCTGCCTGAAAGAGGGATTCACAAACACTTAAGGATAACGGATTAGGTTTTGTAAATGTGTATTTGCAAGTGTACACGTGTTTGGTGTTGGGAATAGACTGTGATGAAAAGCAGCTTTGTTTACGGTTGCAGAGGTGTCAAGTTATAGTCAGGCCAAGCAATTTGCACCGAGCTTCAGTCTATCAAAATGGCAGCTGGTGCAGCAGGTCCTTAGAGAATTCTCCCGAAGAAAGTAGCCTGTGCTTTATTTGTTCTCTTTATTTAGTTTACTGTGTCTTATGATTAAAATGTCAAAAAAGAAAAGATCATGTCAGCAGCCTTTGCAGGTTGAACTCTAACATGCTTTTCCTAACAATGTTTTCTAATACAATCTCTATATTGCACTCAAAATGTCACTATAGTTCAAATTTGAATGGCTGACTTTATGCAGAAACAAAGTTGCTTTACCAAGTATCAGGTTGATGTAATCACTGCATTTAACCAAGGTTGCCATGTTTGTCAATTTACATGTCAGTAAAACAGTCTTTTCCTCTCTAAGTAGGTGTTTTTGGCCAGAAAAACCTGCAAAGTGGACTAGACTTCATACTGAAGCCCAGAGGCGGACTTAACCATTAGGCAAAGGTAGGCGACCGCCTTGGGCCCCCAAATGCCAAGGGCCCCCTAAAATGCTTTTTATATGCGAGATGCGCGTTCAGTGCGGACGCGCAAGTGGTTGCTCAGGTGTTCATTACCACGACAACCGTCTGTGCGTCTGCGTTGAACGTGTTTCTTAGCAAAAGTAGGGCGATGTAGAAAATGGGGACGGATTCTATTCATAAAAACGGAATTTACTGTGTAACGCGGAATGTGAAGGAATGAACGGCGCAGACGCACGTTTCGTTTGCTAGTTTGCTATTTAAGCAACTGCAACGCTCGCAGTTGTCGTCTGTAGTAGCTAAATAGTATTTTTGCCATTTAATATTCACATACACTAGTCCATATCGCGGTTTGATTTAAGTGTACTGAATTGTATTTGATTTATTCATTCAATATTTGACGAATTCCGTGACATTGCTCGTTACACAGTAAACTTCTGTTGTGTAGCATTTTGAATGTACAAAAATTAAAGGTTTTGTTTAATTTTCATTGGAAGAAAAGATAGATTAATGTTTTTGCCTTCATTTGATTACCAGAAAAATGAAAATACACAGCACAGAATTTCTAAAAAATAAGTAAATAAAATTAAAATTTCATAGGACCCTATTATTGTATACAAATTAATAAATTAAGTTGTTTTTATGAATTCAGTTAATTAGATATGTTTTTGATTAAACCATTAAAATGGAATACAGAAAAATTCAAATAAAAAAAAAGAAAGCGCACAATTTGGGTCCTGAATGTAATTTTTGTTAAACTTTTAATAGGCCTAAATTGCTGTTAAATTAAACAAGTTTCATGATTTTAATTAATTAGACATGTTTTTTGTTAAAATTTAATATAATCATCCAGAAAAATTAAAACGAAAAAAAAAATAAAATAAAACTGAATCCAGAAAAATTTAAACGGAAAAAAAGATTTCGGAAAAAATAAAACAGGCTAATTTGAGAAAAATAAAACGGATTTCATAGGGCCCTACAAATATCATGCATCTGAAGCTATAATTTTAATA